CCAATGAGATTGATTTTGATTAGAATGATTGGCATAAACATGATTCTAATATGACTCATGATAAATTCATAAGACAGAACTATTGTATGTCTACAGCTGGGCACTCATGCTTAGGTTTAACAATTATTTTTTATTGGCCATAATCCCATATTTATGCTAATTTAATAGGTAAAATCTCAGTTGAGAAAGTTATCTTAGTATTTAACAAGATTGAGATAACAGTGGCAAAAGATAGCTATCTCACAATAATGTTGTGCATGATTTTATATTTAGATTAAAAAATAGTCTTTAAGTAAACTTTATGTTTATACTCCATAAGAGGCTTAATTATTATTAATTGATCATTGTTAATCATCGCCATCATCATCTTCATTCGGTACTTTAACAACATCTAGATTCTCATCATCATGTAGTACATCAGTTTAGTCGCTGATCATTTCAGTTGTAATATTTAAAGACCAAACCAGCACTAAGATCACGTTTTTGAATTGAAGGCGTCATGAATGGCTATGTTTTAGAGTTGACATAAGATTTTGAATTGAAGGCAGAGGTAGGCCTAGAAAAAATTGGGCATATTGTATAAAAAATGATCTTAATTTATTAGAATTAAATGAAAATATGACACTTGGTAGGATGCAATGGAGAAAAAGGATTCATGTAGCCGACCCCACTTAGTGGGTTAAAGGTTTGTTGTTGTTGTTGTTGTTGTTGAGTTTGAGAATTTAGTGTATGATATGACTTATCATCATTGGGATGAACAAGAAGGTTATATGTATTCAGAGAGTACATTCTACATTAATTATGATATATATATATTTGAGATTCTTTATCTTCATAAGAATACTACGAATAATTAATGATCACATGAATCAATATTTGTTTCTCTTGAAAACCAAATTATGAGGTTTATGGGATTGATGATGATCAAAATGATTTGATTTATTGACATAGGCATCATTGTAATATGACTCATTATAATATGGGATTACTGTTGTTTGGATGTTTGGAATCGGGCATTAGTTTATTATATTTAGGCGCAAGCATTGTCTTGGGGCCAGGCATGATCCTGTATTTTGTCCCATGAATGATCTTATAATAATAATAATAATAATAATAATAATAATAATTCAGGTTCAAGAAAGACATCTCAATCTGATAATATGGTGAGCAATGATCTTTATTTGGCTTAAAAATAGTCTTTTTAGATAATTTTTTTGGAGCACAACAATATTATTATCTTGCTTATCAATAAAACTTGGATAATCATAATTGTTATCCTCGAAGGCCAAAGTATCACAATGATTAAATTTTTTTGAACAAGTGAAGAAAATAGTGGCGGTGCCTTGTAGAATTGACTAAAGTTTTTGAAAGTTTGGAGTTAGAGAAACTGGTTTATAATATGATTTTCTATCATGATGAGGGCTTTTGAGATGGGTATCAATGGAACGAACATATGTATATGTTCATATCAATATTGTCTTTAGTTTTTGAAAGTTTGGAGCAAGAGAAACTAGTGTATAATATGATTGTCTATCATGATGTGGGGTTTTGAGATGGTTATGAATGAAACGAACATGTGTATATGTTTATAACAATAATGTCGTGCCAGAAAATAAATTATGCAGCCTAATAGATGATGATAATCATAGGCATGGCTGTAATTTGACTCAGTTGTAATATTGATTTTGTCACGAGGCAAGCACGAGTCATAGTGGATGATGATTTTGCTTTGCTTCCGTTACTATCTTCAGAAATAAAGTTACATAGCTAATTTGTAATAATTAAAATTCAGACCACATAATTAGAATAATCTTAAAAAAACGGATAATTTTATTGGTTTAATGAAAAACTAAATTTAAAAAGAGAAAATTGATAGAAAGAATTCGAAAATTGTTAAATAAATCAATTTAATTTTGATGCATGCCTTGCCTTTTTAAGAAAAAAGACTCTAATGCTTTTAAATAAATTCCTTGTACTATTTCTTATTATTTTTTATAAACTTGCATTTTTCTTTCATGACAAGTTAGTTATTGATTCCATATTTAATCTTTTTTTACAGTTCTTCCGTGAAATAGTTAAATAAATTAAAATTTTCATTCCACACCTTTTTTTTACAAAATTTCTTTTACTTGTACTGTTCCAATCTTCATAATTTTCTGCTATTGAACAAATTTGTGCTGCTGCTGGTAGCTAGTGGGAAAGCTGTCGAATTTGGTTCTTTGAAAGAAGGCTATATGTTTGACACATCAATAGGTTTGGCACGAATGGAAGCGACATCAAACATCTATCATTCATGTAATTTTAGCCGTGAAAATTTTAAAAAATATATATATTTTTTATTTAAAAATGACAACTATTGGACTCTGATGCTTTCTATGGCCAGGCTATTAATCTCCCCAACATGTCGGATTCTGGAAGCCCTTGGAAGGAAGCTTTCTTTTGAGATAGCCGTTGGATTGAATGGACGTGTTTGGGTATGGCTCCAACTAATCTGATTTATTAGGGGCATTTACATACATATCACCCAATTCTTATGTATTAACATTTCTAATACCTAATTTTTTATTTTTTAGATTTATACCACCAAAATCTTTCATATCATATAAAATAGACTACTATTTTAACTTTTAAAATTTGAAATACACCTTTTCATGGATAGTTAAGTTGGCATTTATGAAAAAAATTGAAGTTTAGGTGTTAAATATGCAAATAGATAAGAATTGAGTGGTGTGCATGTAAATCAGCTTTATCATTATTTATATGTTTTTATGAATTTTGCAGAATATTAATTTCCTTTTATTTCTCTAGGTGAATGCTGCTTCTCCATCCACTGTGATTCTTGTATCTAATGCGATCATGAGATCTGAATTTTTGAGCGATGTGCAGCAAAAAATTCTGGTGGAGAAGCTGATGCAGAGGGTACAGGGATGACAGGTCTGTAAAATAAATATGACTTTTGCTTTTGGAACGGTTGTGGTCGTATATCAATCTTCTGTTTTCTAGTATTTCTGGGATGTTTGAGAGAGAAAAAAAAATGCAGAAAAGTTTTTTCCTTGTTTTTAACCATGTTTTTTTTGTAGAAAATTTTGTTTAGTGCAGCATACTATTTTTCGATTATTTTTATTTAGGGGCATTCACATATATATCACCAAATTCTTCTGTATTTATATATCTAACATTTAAGCTTTATTTTTTATATTTGCACCACTCAATTCCTTCATATTAGATCATACTAATTTTAATTTTATAAAAATATATATATCATAAGAATGGCCGGAGGCTATTATACGAGTTCTGGTCACGTCTGATGTGCCTAAGAATTCGAGTATCACACCCTACACTTGGGGGAAATCGAACTCCGAACCAGAGGGGATTTACAACTGATAAGCAGATGTCTGACAAACTTATGAGTATAAAGTTGAGGTGATACCGAAACTAATCAACCCTGCAGGAAAAGTGGGGAAATGTAGAGCGCGACTACACGAGGAGGGGAAACAACAAGGTTTACGGTTGCAGGTGAGCGACAAGCTTGCAAGTGTAGCGTGGCGGCTACAACAGGCTGTGGAGTCAGTTGGCTGCTTGAGGGCCAGAGAAAGGGTGGTGCAGGCCGGCAGCTAGTGGAGGCAAGGAAGATGATATGGAGGAAATTAGAGAAAATACAACACCACCTGAGTTTAGGGTTGCAGGTGGGCAATGGCTAGGAGGGGAAAAAAGGCGAAAGGTGCGGGGCAATTGCACAGGGACGGGAAACAATAAAGTTGAGGGTTGCAGGTCGGCGACAAGGTTAGAGAGGGGAGTGGCTGACTGACGGCAGAAGTTGCAGATTGAGTAGGTGGATGCGAATGGCTACAACAGTCTGTGAAGGAGTCAGCTGGCTGTTTGAGGGCTGGAGGAGGAAGGGTGGATGCAGGTCGACAACTAGTGGAGGTAAGGAAGAGGATAGGGAGGAAATTAGGGAGAATATAACTACCTTGGAGCATGATACAACCGGAGCATCACCTGTCGTCGGATAAATCCTAACAAGAGGAAGAAAACTCTACATGAAAAGAGAAATCACACAACCCTAATTTCAACGCATACATATAAATAGAGGGAAATTGGTGAAAAACTAACAAGCAAATGGGGGAAAGCAATTAGCGGCAATCACATCCTCTATGGAGTCCGATCAGTCGAGGTTGGACGGGCCGAAACTGGGTTCCCCCCCCCCGCCGCTTTTTGCCTTTTCAGTCGGCCTCCCCAACCTGTCCTGCATCATTAGGGGTTAGAGGTGTAAATAATAAGAAATTAAATGTCATGCATGTAAATTGTCCTTTAAATAATTATAGCTTCCTTTTTAGCATGTATGCTTTCCCAAATTTGATACACCGAACTCGAAGTCGCCTTTAATACCCTATGGTGTAATAAACCTTTGCGGCATATTTTTTGTTTAAATTGAAATTTTTATATAGTTTTCTTCATTTTGGTGCTTATTATGTTCTTACTTTTTAATAATTTGGCCAAGAGTCAGTTGGGCTTCATCAAGCTTTGCTTTTATGCATTTGAACTAGAATGTATCAACATGCTTGATTTTGAATGGAAATTTTACTAATATTATTTTGAAAATCAATAAATTAAAGAAGTAATATATTTGGTAAACCGATAATGGAAATGGAAAACAGCGTCAACATATTGAGAATCATTTACGACTCACATTATGATCTATATTCCAGTTATAAAGTTTTTATTTGAAAAGGGTTTTTTTTCTAAAAAAATTATTCAATCAAAAATATGATTTGACCGTCAAAATATTTTGTTGTTATTCAATCAAAAAGATGATTTGGCCGTTTAAAAAAATTATTCAATCCAGATATATGTGTATACAAAATGTCAGGAGAAATGATATATGTTATCGACAAAATAAGCAATTAGATGTACATTTATGTATAAAAGGAAGATTTACATACATACCACTGTCTATGTATTTACATATAACATCCTTTTTTACATACAAAGGTGTGTTTTCTTTTCTAAAAGTGAAAATGATCTTTTTTTGATGTGGTATGATAGATTTAATTGGTATAAATGTAAAAGCAAAATCTAGGTGCTAGATATGTAAATACATAGGAATTGAGTGGTATGCAAAAAATAAAAGTACAAGAAAATAACAAGATTAGAAAAAAAATCAGGTCAGAAACCTCCCAAATCAGACAAACTGTCAGTGGATTTCTCCCTGAAATGTTGTGTGTAAGAGAGAGGTTCCTGATTAGCTGATTCCTCTTGTTCTACAGTTGCTGTTAAGAAGTGTTTTTTTCTTCGAGTTCTGTAATTTCTTGCTTTAATGGTGTTTGACAAAGCTTGAACTAAATCTCTCATTGATGGCCGTTTTCTGGATAAGCGGTTGATCGATTTGTAGGCTAAGGCGGCCACTTCATTGAGTTCTTCCAATTCATAAGAGTCCTCAAGCCGGGAGTCTGCAATCTCTTCCCACCCACCTCTTCCGTCAGCATTTATGGCAGCCTGAATTTTTGCAATCAATATTTTGTTATGATTCTGAATAATATTCATTCTATAACTATTAAACATGTGGAGATTTAAATTTCATATATAAAAGAACGTTCATACAACAATAATAAACAAATAGCACTTATCTGAAACTCTTTCTCAAAGCAAATCCCTTGTAGCCTCTCTTATAAGATATAGGAAGAAGAAATCTCTCACTTCTCTCCCTCTCTAATACTTTTAGAGAAGAATTCACACTTAAACTCACCACAAAAAACTCAACACTCTAAGGAAATAAATGGAAAGGGGTATATTTATATATATGCCACCAACACCTAAGCTTTATGTTATACATTTATGCAATCCAAACTTTTCATGTGAAATAAAAAATACTACTATTTTAACTTCTAAAAAAATACTACTATTTTAACTTCAAAAAGTGAAATACAGCTTTTCATGCATAGATAAGGTGGCATTTATGTAAATATTAAACTCTAGGTGTTAGATATATGTCATTGCAAAAGAATTGGGTGGTATGTATGTAAATCTTCCTTTAACTTTTAAACAAAGGTTTCACGTCAATGATAGGAGGGAGGGCAGTAGGTAAATGCAGAACAAACTCTTTGGTTCATTCCATTACAACTGTGCTATTAAACATGTTGCATACATACCACCCAATTCCTATGCATGTACCCATTTAACACCTAAACTCTACTTTTTTACATTTATGCCACTCAAATCTTTCATATCACATAAAAAATACCACTTTTTTAACTTTTAAAAGTGAAATAAACCTGTTCATGCATAGGCATATATGTAAATCTTAAAGTTTGAAGTGTTAGTTACATACATACATAAGAATTAAGTGGTATGTACGTAAATCTTCCTAAATTCAAAGAGCACTTGTGAACTCCGCTCTTTAGAGGGCCACACCTTGCACTTCCTTACGGTATTACCCACATCTTCTCGAGGTCGAGAGTTGCAAATTTTGTTTCTTAACATGAGGAGATGGGGAACAGAATGAAATAGGAGCTGAGCCACTATGTTGCCTTGATAGAACCCACCAGGCCTAGCACAATCCTTATTGCCTTGAAACTATCTCAATACATTATACCAATCCCGATGGACTTAAATTGATCCGATGGAAGAGATACGACATCCATAGATCTTAATTCACTCGACTCCGAGATTAAGCCTAACAGGTTAATTGGACTCGGATTTATCTATTGGTTTATAGCCTAGTAGTTCCTATTGACTTCAGGCACCTTGGTTGACCCAATTGGACTCAAAAAGATCTAACTGAACCAAAGCTGACTTAGTAGATCACATTAGAGATGGAATCTAGTTGGTTAACCCAAGTTGACCTAATTGACTTTAACTGGCATGATAAGACCAAATAGAAACACGATCAGTTATGATTAATCATCATCAAATCAATCAATACTAATTGGAACTCATTAGTCCTCAATTTGACGCAACCAACTCAATTGAATGTGTAATTTGATCAATTGACATCAATCTGCCTAATTTGTGGGTTCCGAAAATTTGTGCTCTGCGCTCCCGCATGAGAGTTTTCTGGAGTTTCGTGTCAACCTTCTAAAAAGATAAATTAAATTTTTAGATAAGACCTTCATCAAAGATTTCATCCTCATTTTGTGAGTAATTTGAGCTGGTTTGAGTTTTTCCGTAAGTGCAAGCCCATATGATCAATTACCCCTCTTGATAATGAGAAAACACTTTAGATTAAGGCTAATCGTTAAAACAGTAAGTGTTTCGACTCTGCATATAATAGTGTAACAACTCGGTAATGGATTTAGAAAATTTACCATTCTTGGCTTAAAGCGGAGCGAGGACAATGATGACTAATGTGATCAAAATCATTTGGTTTCATTGTATTAGGTTATCATGATCTTTGGTCTGCGCAGTCAAAGAAGATGATCGACTCGGCCTAACCTAAAGATCTTTGTCAACGGTAATAGGTTGATTCGCACAAAGAGACATGTAGACTTGAGGTGGATATTTATCTAAGGGGACATTTTTAAATCAACTTTAGCTAAAATAGGGCTTCATACTCTATCAGGTGCAATCTATATTTCACAGCTTTAGAGGTAAAACTATTAGGGATCAAGCTTAGATTGAAGTCAATAAGCTAATTTGAATTGAGCTGAGATTAAATCAAATCAAACTAACATAAGATTAGATCAAAATATATAACTATATATGTGCATCAATGATCCATGCAACGTGAAATTTTTGCTTGGATTGAACATTAATAGAACTTAAAGTTCATATTTTCTCAAATTGAAATTGAAATTGAAATCAAGCCAACCAACTGGCATACTTGGCATGTCATGTGTTGGAGTTTGATCTACCCGGTACTCATCGCCTCCAAATTGAGGAATGCATTTTCTTTCTTACAATAATTGTTAGTGTAAGGGGAAGAAGTGGAAAGGAAAAAAGCACTGTGACTAATGCGATTAGAATCATTTGGTTTCATTGTATTAGGTTATCATGATCCTTGGTCCGCGCAATCAAAGAAGATGATCGACTCAGCCTAACCTAAAGATCTTTGTCAACGATAATAGGTTGATTCGTACAAGGAGACCTTGTAGACTTGAGGTGAATATTTATCTAAGAGGATATTTTTAAGTTAACTTTATCTAAAATAGGGCTTCATACTCTATCAGGTGCAATCGATATTTCATAGCTTTAGAGGTAAAACCATCAGGGATCAAGCTTAGATTGAAGTCAATAAGCTAATTTGAATTGAGCTGAGATTAAATCAAATCAAACTAACATAAGATCAGATCAAAATATATAACTACATACGTGCATCAATGATCCATGCAACGTGAACTTTTTGCTTGGATTGAACATTAATAGAAATTAAAGTTCATATTTGCTCAAATTGAAATTGAAATTGAAATTGAAATAAGGCCAACCAATTGGCAGACTTGGCTTGTCACGTGTTGGAGTTTGATCTACTCGGTACTCATCGCCTCCAAATTGAGGAATGCATTTTCTTTCTTACTATAATTGTTAGTGTAAAGGGAAGAAGTGGAAAGGAAAAAAGCACCGTGACTAATGCGATCAGAATCATTTGGTCTCATTGTATTAGGTTATAATGATCCTTGGTCCGCGCAATCAAAGAAGATGATCGACTCGGGTAATAGGAAGAGGTTGATTCGTACAAGGAGACTTTGTAGACTTGAGGTGAATATTTATCTAAGAGGACATTTTTAAGTCAACTTTAGCTAAAACAGGGCTTCATACTCTATCAAGTGCAATCTATATTTCACAGCTTTAGAGGTAAAACTATTAGGGATCAAGCTTAGATTGAAGTCAATAAGCTAATTTGAATTGAGTTGAGATTAAATCAAATCAAACTAACATAAGATCACATCAAAATATATAACTATATATGTGCATCAATGATCCATGCAACATGAATTTTTTGCTTGGATTAAAAATTAATAGAACTTAACGTTCATATTTGCTCAAATTGAAATTGAAATTGAAATCAAGCCAACTAATTAGCAGACTTGGCTTGTCACATGTTGGAGTTTGATCTAATCGGTACTCATCGCCTCCAAATTGAGTGCATTTTCTTTCTTACTATAATTGTTAGTGTAAGGGGAAAAAGTGGAAAGGAAAAAAGCACCATCTTCTTTTTCTAGAGAGGTTGAAGGAAAAAAAGAGGAAAATATAAGTTAATCCACCTTCTCTTAATTGATTTATTGCACAAAAAGAAGAAAAAAGTTGGTGTTGTGTTATGTGAGTTTTTTGTTGAGAGAGGAGTTGCAATTCTCTCCTCGATAGCTTCTCCATGGAAATTCTGCTCCAAACGATGGAGCACCTTGCTCGTGATTACAGATCCTTTTTTTTACCAAATTAACGTATAATTTGGTGTTTTCTTTTCCCCTATTGTTTTACTTGTCCCCTATATTTTGCGGGGTTTTAATTTATTACTACTTCTAATTGATCAGCCTCCTTTTGTCCTACCAAAAGAGGTAGTTTGGGCCTTTTTCAGTAACACAATTGTTCACATTTGACTAGAATGACATCAATTGTGAGACCTCTAGTCTACACAGCCTTACCTAACCTCTTTAGCCCATTTCCTGATAAGTGACTAGAGTTCTGAACATGTCACAGTTGCCTGGAACAATACACCAATTGTTAGTCTGCACAAAATTCGCCAACCATCATACAAGTCAATGACAAGCTTAGACCAATAACAGGAATAAAAGTTCAACCTAAGTCCAATTAACCAACATCGAACTTATCACTAAATACTTAATCGAAGCAAGAGAAAATTGTGACGTTTAGTTAACGAAGATCTCACCAGTTCAACAAACTCCAGGAGACCTTGTTGTGGTGTTCTTCCGGCAATCAACTCAAAAAGCAAAACTCCAAAGCTATACACGTCACTTTTCTTTGTGAAAGACTTCGAAGAAACATATTCAGGATCAAGATAGCCATAAGTTCCTCTAATTGGTGCGTTCCGGCTGACAATTTCTTCTCTTGAAAGGCCAAAGTCGGCAACCTAATCAAAATAAGAGTTATGCATTAAAACGCTAATTGAGAACATAAACCCTTCACCCTAGTAAACGAATTAAAAGTTATTTTCCCTGTGCAATTAGTAAAGAATATCAGTTACTACTCAAACAATCACCCGTGGAAAGTTCTATGCTTGTAATCAGAAGAGTTCACCAAATAACGGCCAATTTGACTAGTTTGAGCTATTTAGCATTTATGATTTTTTTTTCAATTTGACTAGTTTGAGCTATTTAGCATTTATGATTTTTTTTTTCAATAAAAAAGCTTCAACTTCTGAAATGTTAAAAAGAACACAGATTTTAACCATTCTCGCTTCTGCAAACCATTTTTCACTTTGAAATATCTTATCGATCAACTTACATTAAGCCTCATTAGTTCAATGCAATTTTTTTCTACTTTAAGGCGAGAACTTCAATTAGCATAAGCAAACATCTCCTAGGCTGATTTAAAAGAAATGCAACCTTCTAGAAATGCTTGAACTCATGAAAGAAACCAAGCAAAATTTTTTACTGCAAAGATTATATTGAAGTCCACTGTCACACACAAACATTTGAAACAAAATATAATGGAGATTCATACTCTAGCTCTCATTGTTCTATCCAGCAAAATGTTTGAAGACTTGATGTCCCGATGAACAACAGATGGAATAGCCTGCACAAAAAGCATAAAAAAAGAAAATTAGCAATGGAACAAAATAAGAGTCGCTCATTGCATTTGTTAACAATTACAAAAAATAAAAGCCTACACCATCATGAAGATACTCCAAGCCTCTTGCAACATCCAGAGCTATATTAATCCTCAAATCCCAGCTTAGTGCTACCTTATGCTCATCTGCAAAATATATGAGACATTAATAAAAATGAGAATCAATATTGACGTAGAAACAAAAAATTCAGTTTTCCTCTCTTGTGTGTGCGCGCGCGTGCGTGTTGGATGCATATTTTGTTAGTGCTTTACATTCTGAACGACTACTTCGAGGGGATACAACTTGCAACGATGTTTAGGCCTAATTCTTCCATTTGGGCTTAGTCCTTATTCTCGTCATTTTTCAAGATATATGTTGGGCTCTCTTTTTGAAGTGTGAACTTGATCATAGTTAAAATTTTATGTTTATGAATGTTTTTTATATAAAATTTTAGATTTGTATGATTATTAAATTATCTTTTGGAATGAGTAAAACACGTATGTATTCTTTTATTAAAAAATAGAGTTTTGCTAAACTACGAATTTGTAACTTGCGAATTGCAAAATTTTTTCCCCACTTTCCTATTTCATTTTTTCCTAAATTGCATGAGAAATCCTAGACCCTCGATTGTCTTACATCAACAAGCCAGAGCTTCACAATGAAACAGCTTATTGAATGAAGTTAGTTTTACTATTCTCTCGGAAATCCTTCTGATCTCTTAAATAGCAAACATCCTCATATTATTAAACTAATAGGAAAGAGACAACATCCACAGAGATTGGGGCAAACACAATATTTTACTTTACCAACACAAAATGACACAACCCAATAAATAAAAAATAAACACCTATGATTCCATAGGTAAGTAATCTCAACCAAAATTTAACCCTAGATTCAAGACAACAATTACACACATAACCTATTTCTAAACATATTAAGCCCTATATATACTCCACAAAAATAACTAACAAACGACTAATTTACCCTTTTAGTCTTGTGCCTAATAAAAGTCTTCAAATTATTTAGCGCGCTCAACATCGACTCAGTAGAGCATGAGGCATAAGACACTATAGTCGCTATTATAACATTACTCCCCTCCCAAAAAGACATTGTCCTCAAGGTAGAAGAGAGGACTGCTGGTGGATCAAGTCGTATAACTCCCACGTGGTGTTATAATCTAACAATCCTTTCTATTTAACCCGAAATTCACAATGACTCATGATTTTAAAGTACAATTTGCATCAAAATCTGATGATATCATAATTTCAAGTCAATCTTGGAGAATACCACAACCCCTAAAAGCTCGTCCAGTAGCTCATCAATTACCGTGATGGAAAATTTGTCAGATATTAATTTCTTATTCACCACCTGATAATTTACACAGAAACACCAATTTCCATCATTCTTCTTCAATAGCAAGATTGGGCTAGAAAGGGGCTCACACCAGGCTATCTACTCCCGACATCTAACATCTCTCGGATCAATCTCTCGATTTTATTCATTTGCACTTGAGGTAAGCGATATGGGCACACATTGATGGGAGAAACTCATGGTTTTGGGGTTATTGCATATTTGTGTTCACTTAGAGGCTGCAATCCACATGGCAACTGGAAAGCTTACGCAAATTTTTGTAGGAGCTATTGGATCGGTGCTGGAAGCTCTGCCAACTTCGTATCATGTCTCTTCCATGACATGCAATTCGATCAATAATCCTAGCCCTACGTCTTCTACAGCCCAAACCATGGTCACCGTGATACTGAACTCCGTTGTCAAGAGCTTCCAATTTATCTTAGTCTCCCCTAAGGACTGCAACCATTTTATACCCAATATCACGTCAGTGCTCCCTAAATCCAAGAAAGAAAATTTTTCATCACTCGAAAACTTACAGTGTTAAAATCACCATTTTACAAACTCCTCTGCTCTTCTCCACCTGTTCCATCCACATCATGACTCCAAACACTTCCCATGTCAGCCATCTCAAGTCCCAATTTTTTTCACTACTTAAGTAGAGATGAAATTGTGAGTGGAATCACTATCTACCAACACCACTATGTCCTGTTCTCTTATCTATTCCCAAAGTTTCATATTATGGTTTGGTGTTCACCCCACCATCGAGTTCAATAAAACTTCTGACACATTAAGGTTTGATCCTTACAGCTGTGTCCCAAGGAAAATTTCTCATTACACCAACGACGAGAATCGCCTCTCCATGGCCGAGAAACAATCATCCATTTCATATTTGATTTGACTCACCTCTCCCTCTAATTTCTCCTCCAAAGCATCCAATTTCTTGGCCGCCACTACTCCCAGAATGGTCTTCGATCATGAAGGCGAAACCATTGTATGTTGCGATCCCGTCGTTGGCATCCTAGCTATATCAAATCACAATTGTATCACGATGTTCAGTCATGAAGGCGAAACCTTGTATGTTGTGATCCCGTCAATGGCTTCCTAGCCATGATCCCATCATTGGCTTGCCAGCTAGCTCGAATCGCTACTATATCGCAATGTTCTATCACAAAAGTGAAGCCCTGTATGCCGCAATGCCCTCGTCGGCTTCCTAGCTAGTTCGAATCGCTATTGTATCACAATGTTCAGTCACGAAGGAGAAACCCTGTACGCCATGATTTCGTCGTTGTCTTCCTAGCTAAATTCGCACGTCGCAATCCTATTGTTTGCTTCCTAGCTAGATTTGCACATCGCAATCCCAAGATGGTTTCCCAACTAGCTCAAATAGCAATTGAATGGCAACTTTATCGCCATTACTCACAGGAGGTTGCTCTATACTAATTTGATAGGAAGGAAACATTTTCCACATAAATTAGGGCAAACACAATATTTTACTTCGTCGGCACAAAACAACACAACCCAAATACATAAAAGATAAACACTTACAATTCGAGAGGCTGACGATCTCTCTCAAACCCAAACCCTAGATTTAAAGCAACAATCACTCACATAACCTAACCCTAAACATATTAAGCTCTATTTAAACTCCACAATAATAACTAACAAATGACTAAATTGCCCTTTTATTTTTGTGCCTAACATAGGTTGACGCTGTAGGCAACTATGTAACATAAACATCTTAAGCTTTCATATTTGTCTAACAACTTTACATCCAAAAAATGAAACGTCGTATTGATACTCTTAACACTTTGGTTGCACGTGTACATTGCAAACTGCCTAGTAAGAATAACATACAATATCATACTTCCAAACCACAATGCTATGCATATCAACATGTTATTAAATAAGAATCCATTGCGTTTGTAACAAGTAACGGAAATGATCAACAAATGAACCAGCCAAAAGTGCATGTTAAATCCAACTTACTGTATAAATGAGAAGCAAGACTGCCATTTGCCATGTAGACATATATCAGCATATGCTGGCCTTTTTCAGCACAATATCCTACCAAGTTTACAAGGTTCCGGTGATGCAATCTCCCGAGAAGAAGAACCTGGTAAGTATAAATGCCAGCAAAAGCATTGTAAAAGTGCCAAACTAGCCATGATGATTCAAAGCAATTTAAAGGATAGAGTTCCAATAAGGCATAGTTAGGAAGTTAAAACTATGAGATTTTATCAAATTATTTGTAAGCACTTGGTAAACCTATTGGCTGATCTTCTATAAGAGTGCCGCTGTTGAAATTTATTTTTTAAAAATAAATCCGGGTCACAACAGCTCAAGCATTTAAGTGCAGTGGTTGTCACCCTTAGCAAGCAATTTATGATTCATTACAATTTAATGGTCATATTTAGCAAGCAATTTATGCAAGCAGTATGTTAGGTACATGTAGTGATTGACATTAATTGATATGCTTAATTTAAGCATATGAAAGTTATACTATAACAGAGCAAAAAACATTATTCTCTAATCCGTAATACCTCTGTCTGAAATTCCGTCTCCCCTTGTTTAGAATTAGTAGCTAGCACTTTGACTGCAACTATCTCACCTGTTGACATTTGAGCTTTGTATACAGGACCAAAAGCACCTTGACCAATCAAAGTTGTAAAGTTACAAGTTGCCTTCTGCAAATCCCTGCGATTGCCAGTGTACAGCTTTGTCAAAAGAAAGACTCCGGGAGGAACTATATTTTCTAAAACTGAAAAGCAACAGCGAAATAAATACTTTAAAGATACTAAAGCCCCACTGATTGGAGAGTTCCAGTGCAGTACCCTATCAATTGGATTTAAATAAGTTGCAGATGAAACGGTAAATAATAAAAAAAAAACTTAGTTGAGAACACGGTAAAGCTTTTGTGTGGAAAAGTAGTAACAGTTATATAATTATCTTCCTGGAATGTCCTTTTCATATGGAAAACCTGGTTAGGATTTCTGAAATGCGAAAAAAGTACAGGTAAGTGCAATCAAAAAATTAAAGAAGACGACAAGCAGTAAGGGTATTCTTGCAATATTTCATATGCTACAGTTTTTATATTTTGGGAATTCGAGTTTCTCAAGGGCTCAGTGGGGTTGTTACGAGTGGTTTATCTAGCTCCTGCATGCCAGAAATATCAAGGATCCCTTAAAGAGGAAAAACTTACGGCATCCAAATTATTAATGATACTGAACTTAGGATTTTGAACAGCATTCCTCTTTTAACATAAAACAACCCCTTTAAGAATGTCACACTAGTCGCCAGGAGATCCTCCAAGTCGTTGTTTTATTGCGTAAAACATTCTTGCTTGTATGGTATTGTTCTTATTAGATAATATTTACTATTGCTAGATAATAGAAGTTATATGATATCCTGTATAATGACCAGTTCATCCTTTTACTTAACAAGCAAAATTTTAAATGCAATCAAACTGGCCCTGCTATATGGATCCAAGTGTTAAAGAAGTCACAAAAATTCATATTCAGTGCAACTGCAGTGAACATGCTAAGATGCAGGCATGGTAAATTTTGTAAAAAAAGAGGAAGATTTGAGTACATTAAAGTTATTATGGGAGTAAAACTTGTGGTTTAGAACATTATAAAGTTTAGGGTTCATAGAGATTTAGATTCCCTAACCAATGCAACAAACTTTCAATTTGCAGGAAATACAAATTATACTATTTTTGTAATAAATTAAGCTTAGGAAAGGATATATAAAACTACAAATTTAAGTTAAATTAATCGCGTCTCCGTGGATTCAGCACAAACCATGTCTCGCTCCAACCGGCAAATTGGAATAAAGAGAATTCCAACAATCAATGTAATTCCTGCAGCCATAACTATTATGGAAAGTATTAAATCTAAGATTTCTATATTAGAAAACTTAATATTAGATAAACTAATTAGAGGAGATCTAAGTACAAGATTTTTGTCTATATTAGAGATATTTTTAATATATAAAAATAGGGGTGTATATAAATAGTTAACATATACTTTCAATTGTGAAATAAGAAGAAATGAAGTTTTCTCGTTACATGGTATCAAAGCCGGACCGAACCGGCTGGTTCAACCAGTTTGACCATGAACTGGCCGGTGGTCTAATTCAGGTTGGCTTAATAACTGCCCTTGCATCGAACCGGCTTGAACTGGCCTAGAACCGAGAAAAACTGGCCGGTTTAACCTCTAAACCGATTACAATAAATATTAAAATTTTATTTTAAAGGTGGAAAGCCTATGTGCTATTGTTGTAGCTATCTTGTACTCCCGTGTTTTTCAATATAAAGGAAAGATGAAACTCAAGATTTAAAGATGTAGGACTAAACTATAAAAGCTAAAATAATTTAATAATATGTTTCTTTGCCTTATTTTCTTGCACAAATTTTTTGTTTTTTTTTAATTATTTTCTTTTATAATTTAGGAAATCAGAAAATACAAATAGCCAAAAATTATAATAAATATATTTTAATGGATTTAATGCTATATGTGAGTTTCAATCTACGACTGGCTTATGAAATTTGGGAAGATTTACATGCATACCACTCGCTTTGTTATCTATTTACATTTCTCACACCTAAAGTTTAATTTTTAATAACATACCACCTTACTTATACCTTACCTGTGAATGAAAGGTGAATTTCATACTTCAAAAATTAACAAAGTACTACTTTTAATGTGATATGAAAGATTTGGGTGATATAAATGTAAAAACAAAAGAATAGGTGCTTTGCTAGATATGTAAATATACAAGACATGGATGGTATGTACGTAAATGCCCCTAAAATTTTCTTATATTTAATATTTAATTTTTTTTTAAACTAGTTGTTATTAACTTTTAAAATAACATGCTAAAATTATTATGATGTTGGTAATTTAAATATTGAGATGTTTATTTCATGTCTCACAATCATTTTTTTTAAATTACATCATTTTTGTCAAATTTAAATAAATTTATAATTTAGTAAGTCGTCTGATTTTCGATTGAACCTCGGTTCAACCTTTAAACCTTGAAACTCTCCTTTTATCGGTTCAATGTCAGGTCTGATTTTCTGAACCTTGATTTCAGTCCCCTTAATATTCAATAATACTTATGGCTATGAAACATAAACATGCCACAAGTTTGGTCTCATCCATGGGTAAAATTATGGATGAAAAGTTAAATAATGTAGTTATTTTTATTAAAATAAAACTAAGAAACTTTACTTAAGAAGTATTTCTGAAGAGAGTCACCTCATAGGTAATAACAAAATTGAGTCAGATTTGAATAATTATGAGTGGAAGAGAGTTGATGCCCAACTTTTGATACAAATACAAAACTTTATCGAACCCGATCAATCTGGTCATATTACTTATTGCGGCTGCATTAAAAATGTGATGAAGGAATTGACGTTTGTGTTTTCTAGGAGAGAAAATATTTCAAAAATCTTTGATGTATGTTAGGAGTTCTATCGAGTTGAATAACAAAATCAATAACCTAACATATATCACATGCACTTTAAACGTGTTTATGAAGAAGTGAATACACTATTGCCCTATAGTACTGATGTCCAGACTCTGCATGCTGAAAGAAAACAAATGGCTATGACGAGTTTCTTAGTTGACCTCAACTCAGAATATGAAGGTGTTAAATCATAGATCGTATCTGACCCAAAAGTTTATACTCTTAAGAAAGCTTATACTAGAGTGTTGTGTATCATTCTGAGTCCTCAGGCTTCTTCCATACAATAACCCAGTGCCCTTGCTAGCCAGAAACATACATACATTGATAAAACTCAATTTCAGGTTGTTTATGGAAGTAAACTCCAAATTTTGGAAATCAAGGCAGAGGGTAGTTTGTTATTATGTCATAAACCTGGTCATACGAAGAAAACATGTCAAAAGTTGCTCAAATATAATCTGAAGGGTTCCATATCACAGTCAGTTCACTTGTCATTGCTTATGGGCCTCCCAAAATTAGAAGGCTTCATGAGATAGCTAGAGATCTTTTATTTCAAACTAATATACCTAAAAAGTTCCTGATTGATGCAGTGTCTACTGCATATTTTTTTGTATTAATAAGATGTCTTCTACTAGTTTACAGAACCGAATACCCGACCAAGTTCTATTTCCAACCAACGCTCTATTTTCCATTGAACCACGTATATTTGGGAGTACGTGCTTTGTTTGTGACACTCATCCACATGTTTTTAAATCGGGCCTTAATAGTGTGTTTAGGGTGATTGTTGATTTTTAAACAAGCAGCTATGAAGATGTTTCTTGATGAAGGAGCTTTACATTCACTATCAGAAAGTTGTTATTGGTGTAACAGTCAATTTGTTTGGATAATCAGCTGTGTTGTAGTCGTTTCTGACAAAAAAAATTATGTCCTTATAGATATAAATTAGTTCAATAAGTATAGTTTTCAATAAGTGTAGTATGAAACATACATACATCGATAAAACTCAATTTCAGTGTGTTTATGGAAGTAAACTCTAAATTCTGAAAATCAAGGCTCGAGGATAGTTTGTTATTATGTCATAAACCTGGTCATACGAAGAAAACATGTCAAAAGTTGCTCAAATATAATCTGAAGGGTTCCATATCACAGTCAGTTCAGTTGTCATTGCTTATGGGCCTCCCAAAATCAGAAGGCTTCATGAGATAGCTAGAGATCTTTTATTTCAAACTAATATACCTAAAAAGTTCCTGATTGATGCAGTGTCTACTGCATATTTTTTTTTTTTAATAAGATGTATTCTACTAGTTTACAGAACCGAATACCCGACCAAGTTCTATTTCCAACCAACTCTCTATTTCCCATTGAACCACATATATTTGGGAGTACGTTCTTTGTTTGTGACACTCATCCACATGTTTTTAAATTGGGCCATAATAGTGTGTTTAAGATGATTGCTGATTTTGAAACAAGCAGCTATGAAGATGTTTCTTGATGAAGGAGCTTTACATTCACTATCAGAAAGTTGTTATTGGTGTAGCAGTCAATTTGTTTGGATAATCAGCTGTGTTGTAGCCGTTTCTGACAAAAAAAAATTATGTCCTTATAGATATAAATTAGTTCCATAAGTGTAGTTTTTAATAAGTGTAGTATGAAACATAAATACATCAATAAAACTCAATTTCAGTGCGTTTATGGAAATAAACTCCAAATTCTAGAAATCAAGGCTCGATGGTAGTTTGTTATTATGTCATAAACCTGGTCATACGAAGAAAACATGTCAAAAGTTTGTTGACCTCACTTTTGGTTGAGGTCTAGAAATTTCTTTAGTAGCCTAGGTCTAGCCATAGGACTTTCCTATTGATTAGTCTTAGAAAACTAGAAAAGGTATCCTCACCATTAGAAATTCAAAATTTTTCTCTTTGCTCAACTTGAGGTTCCACATATTGGTCCTAACCTCTAGCACTTAATAGGTAAGATCATTATGAAAGAGTTCAAGAAGAGTTCCTATAGGGCTACTTGGCCTTAGGATTGACCCTGGGTGTTGACTTGGAACTAGGGTACACCATATCTTCACAATACATTGGTCTATGACTCATTCAGAATGGTTCTCTACCCAATTGCACTTGAAATGCCCAACTTGGCCTTTTGCCCCTAGGCACCTCCAAATTCCTTAATTGCCCATGGGACCCAAATTTGGCCAAAATTTCAATTTTTTGCCAAAATACCCA